AGACTATATAGAGGGACAATCCCCCGTACTAGAACCAAGTCCTAGCCGTAGCCAAACAACGACATCCCCAAGTTTCCAAAATCAACAAGTTGTGCAACAACGTATATATCAACATGTATATACAAGATATCAACTATCTACCAAGCACAACCAAATTTGGAAACATATACAATACATGCACAAGGTCCACAACTACTATGGCATGAAAAATGTCCAATACAAAGAGTGCAATTTCTTACATAAGGCAACAACATATTCATTAAGGAAAACACATTCTCATGAATATTAATATAACAACTATGTTATCCAATGCTCAAAATATAACCAAGTGAACATACAACAAGTCCAAGTCCATGATTTAAACATAGAAACAACTTCCAAAACGTAATAAAATCCATGGACCAAATATATAGAACTTAATTAAGCAAAAATAATCAAATTCTCTAGATTCTAAATTAATTCCAAATAACCCCAAATTAATATATGTTGAAGGACATGTCATGGTCATCACATATATAACTCCAAACGACCAATTAAGTGATTAAAACACTTAAAACAAAATTAATTAAGCTAATTAATTAATTTCCTCTAAATTTTTAAACAATTCCAAATGCTCTCAGTTTAAGATATGTTAGAGAACATGCCAAGGCCTATCCAAATATCACATTACAACTTAATTTCATGCTTGTTATGACCATGTGAATTAAACTTTCACCAAAGATAAATATTAAAGAAAATTTGTAATTCTTAACCAAATGATCCAAATTTAATATATGTCAACAACCATACCAAAGCCAAATTTTCTAGCATGTCACAATCTAATTCCAATTTACATATCATCATGGAAATTAAACCTTAAACAAAGAAATTAATTAAATTAATTTCTAGATCTTGAACTAAAGCATGCATACAAGTTGTATAAGCTCATATAATCATCAATACAACACAATTATAATCCTAAGACACCCCCTACCTCCATTTGAGATGAAATCTCAAATCCCCACCAAAATAAATCAGCTCCGAATCTGACAAAACTCCTAGGTTTTGTCGGGGACAACACCACGAACATGAATCCCAAGGAAGCCCCATCAAAAACACAACTTGACTTCAAACCTGAACTCAAGAAATGGCCAAAACGAGATTCCAATCGGTTGGAATCGAAGGCCTCGCCGAGGGGAACAATAAACACAAAGGCATCACCACTTTTTCATGAAGGGAAGAAGTCCAAAAAAGGAGAGAGAAGATGGCAGCCATGGATGGAGCTTGGACCGGCCATGAGAGAGGAGAGAGAGAAAAAAAATCTGATTTTTCTTTCTAAGACCTCCTATTTATAGAAAAACTCGAAAAGTGCCCCGAACGGGCCCCGCTGGGTCCAGAAAAGTGGAATCTGAGCAGACGCGCTCAAACGGCAAAACTCTATGAACAAAAAAAATTCCAAATGAGAAAATATGAACAACAGAAGAAATGGCGTCAAAAACCGAGTCCCGAGCAGAGAGTTATGCCCAAAACAAGTTTGGCGCAAATTGGGGCCAGAAAACTGGAAAACATCGTCCAGGAGGAAATTCTAAGAGTCCACGACTCGACAAAATGTGAAAATGAATCCCGTACGAGGATTCAGGCTCAAAACAAGGCATTGAGCAATAATTTTCATTAATTGCATAATAGCCCCTGCAAAAAGTGAAAACTGCGAAACTGCCCCAGAATGAAAATATCTTTCAAAAGATATTTTCTTAGATACCCCTAAAATAAAATATCTTCAAAAGATATTTACGAAAAGCACCCCAAGAAAAGGATTCCCAAGAACTTTGTATCCATGCCCCTATGGACACCGGGAGCAACCAGAGTACTTTCTTACAAAAGTAAAGATACGTATCTCATAGAAATCATTGAGAATGAAGATACGTGAAATCAGAAACCAACTCCGAACACAAGAAGTGTGGTTACACAAACGGAGTGACAAACGAGGAAAAGACGAAATAGGGAAAATGACGAAAAGTGAATAGTATCGAAAAACGAAAACAAATGTGAAAACGACTCGGTCCTCAAAGAAAGTTGTCAATCCATAGAAAAGAGTCTCGGAAATCACTCCAGAGCACTCAAGACGACACTAAACGACATGAAACTGAACTCAGAAGGGAAAAGATAACGAAAAAAAAAAATTATGCCGAAAAATTTGGGTCATTACATGCATAGCCTTAGAGACGGACCGGGCAGTTTCCTTACACATTGCAACAACAGCTTGTGCTACTGTCTACTACGTCAGCCAGCTGATGAGAACCATCAGCCGGCTGACAAACTCTTGAGACCAATTCCAGTAGGTTGTTAGTGAAAAGAGTCGTTTCGGCCAGCTAATGATGGTGGTTTGTTCGGTTGATGATTGTGTTTCGGTCGGCTGACCCTTGCCATCGGTCGATCGATCCTCCCTGGAGCTTCTCCATTTCAGTTTTTCTTAAACAGCTTTGTTGCATCGACTTCAGAGGGTTATAACTCCTTCATTTCTAATCCAAATCTGGTAGTTCTTGAGTCCAAGTTCAAGAGCTTGAAGTTAGATTTCCAATTGTACCAACCACACACCAAAACTCCAACTGTAGTGAGAATTATTGTAGTTTTAGTGAGATTGGGTCGTGGTATCTCTTAAAATGAGAAGGCCATTTTGTTCCATTTTCATATCTTTTCCATTTGGACTCCAAATCAGGCAATTCTTGAGTCTAACTTTGTTCATTTTTTGTTATCTTTCCAATGATGTGCACGGTGACACCCATTTTTGTTTAAAATGACCATTTTACTCTTAGTTCATTTCTTATCGGGTTTGAAATTCTTATTTCAGCACTTTACACATTTATAGGGAGTCATTTTGGTGCCTTAGGGATGACATACATCTCTAGAGGCCATTTTGCTTCTTTCGCTTCCGCATTTCGGATCCATTATCGGGTTAACTTTTGGTCATCACTAACGCACCGGGTTTATAAAACTTAGGCCATCACAAAAACCCTAAAACTGGGAAAAACGATCGGAAGACAATTCTAAGAGTACACGACTCAACGAAATGTGAAATAAATCATGCATGAGGATCTAAGCCTAAATGAGACACCTTGCAATTAACTTTTGTTAATTGCACAAAGACTCCTATGCAAAAGGATAGTTGCACAAGTGACCCAAATGAAAATATCTTTCAAAAGATACTTTCTTAAAAAATCCCAAAACAAAATATCTTCAAAAGATATTTACCAAAAACAACCGAAGAAAGGAAAATATTTCTAAAGAAACTTTGCATCCACGCCCCTACGGGAAAAAGAAACAACCAGCAAGCTTTTCCACAAAAGTAAAGTTTCGCATTTCGAGAAAACTACATGTAATGAAAGCATGTGAAGTCAGAAATCAAATCTGAACACGAAAAGTGAGGTTACGCGAAAGAAAATATCAACGGAAAAAGAAAATCCATAAAAATAGGAAAAATGAAAAGAAGGAAAATAACCGAGTCATTACATGAGAATGAAGAAGCAAGGAGGGATCAAGCATCCATTCTTTCTTAATATTTTCCTATCCGCCAAATTTTGGGGGGAAGGGAGGAGAGAGAAAATGAATAACTACCTACAAATATACAATTTTCAATAAAAAAAAAAAAAAAAAAAGAGAGACAAATGGATGTCAACCTTTTATTATTTTATACAGTGAGGGTATATTGGTAAAATATATATAAAAACTTTCTTTTCCTTCCTTCCAACCAAACAAAAAAAAAATTGTCACCACATCCATCTTTTCTGCTATCCATTCTATTCAACCAAATAAAAAATGGGGGGACACCTTTCCCAAGGGATTCCTCATCCATCCCTCCCCCTATTTCCTCATCCCTCCGTCCCCCTACAATCCGATCTCTTCTATACATTTTTCCATCCCTCCCCCCATTTCCTCATCCCTCTCTTCCCCTACGATCCTATCTCTTCATTTTTTCATCCCTCCAACCAAATAGATCAAGCATTAGACTTGAAAATGACTTTGTATAGGATATTGGGTTGAAAGTGGGTGTAACTGTTTCCATGGTCAAAGTAGACCTGTCAATTCCGATCCGATTACTCAGATATGGATTGAACAAAAAATTTGATAACTCGATTATGATCCAAACCCAATAATTCGATTCCTTAACAAATCGGATATAGATTTATGATGATTGATCCGATCTGATCCGATAAATTTTTTATATATATAGATAATAATAATATTTTCTAATATATATATATATATATATATATATATATATATATATATATACACAATACTCCTATCAGATTTATATTAGATACAACCAAAAAAAATAAAGTAATCATAATATTATATGTACAATAGTGTGGTGCTCTCACTCATATATTAATAAATCTCCTAATATACATATTAATAATGTTATAATATTTATTAATTAACAAAGCTTAAATGATCTATTTTCTTTTCTTTTCCTTCCATATTTTATTTATCTTTTGTTTTCTAGCATTTTTTTTCTAATCATTGTTTTTTATTCTCTTTTGACATTAATTTTTTTCTATTCTTTTTATTTTATAAAAAATAAAATTATACTTTTATCAAATCGGATCGGATTATCGGATGGAATATCAGTTTATTAATAAATCGGATATGAATTCACTTAAAAAAAATCCACCGAATTATCGGATTGAGTAAAATGTTTATTGAATTCAAATCGAATCATGCCAAATCTGACCCGTTGGCAGGTCTAGGTCAAAGTGTTAGCAAGATATGTACTAGAAAAATTACAATATTCAGGAGTAATAATAATAATAATTAAAAGAGAATTTAGAGAAAGAAGTTGTGGTGGTGCATGAAGAGAATTGTATTTGTATTATTTTAGATAGAGCCTCATATAACTGCATGGAGTTGTACGTTATGCACACGAGTGACCTGAGCGTGGGAAAAAGCTACGACATTGGCGTTATGTAATATTGTAACGTAATAGTGGCGACGCTCACTGATATTTTCTTAATTGTAACATCCGTCCCATCTCTTGCGGTGACGTTTCCATTCCATTCCAACCAAATTCCAATTGCAAATCCCTCCCTCTATATAAACCAATTCGACCACCTCTCACACTTCATACAAAAAGAAATACATATAGTTGAAACAAAGCTATACAGTTTGTTTAATTTTCCTCTAGATCTGCACCTGCATGCGCCATGAAAACACATATAGAAAGCTTGTGGGTTTTGCTCCTCACTTCCAAATTCAAATCTCCATCACTTGAAAACATCACTTTGCTTTTGTTTTTTCTTTGTTTTGCATGGTTAGCCATGGCTTTGCTCTACTGGGCTCACCCTGGTGGTCCAGCGTGGGGACTCAACTACTACTCCACTCATTATTATAATTATTGGTGGAAGAAATCAGGAGGAATTAATAATCTCAACAAAACCAAGCCCATACCAGGGCCCCGTGGTGTTCCGGTGCTCGGAAGCATCTCCCTCATGGCCAACCTCCCTCACCGCCAGTTGGCCGCCGTGTCCAACTATCTCCGAGCAAACCGTCTCATGGCCTTCAGCCTCGGAGAGACACGTGTCATCGTCACATCCAATCCCGACGTGGCTAAAGATATACTCAACAGCTCAGTCTTCGCTGACCGTCCAATCAAAGAGTCTGCTTACAGTTTGATGTTCAACCGGGCAATCGGGTTCGCTCCTTACGGACCATACTGGAGAACCCTAAGAAGAATAGCCGCCACTCATCTGTTCTGCCCTAAGCAAATCAACGGCTCAGAAGCTCAGAGATTCGAGATTGCAAGCCAGATGGTATCACTGATTGTCAAACAAATAGATGGTGGAGAATTAATTAATGTCCGCGACACGCTACTAAAGCCAGCTTCACTGAACAACATGATGTGTTCTGTGTTCGGACGCAAATACGAGCTTGCTTCATCAAACAGCGAAGCACATGAACTTAGTCGACTCGTGGAAGAAGGCTATACACTATTAGGCCAACTCAACTGGTCCGATCACCTTCCTTGGCTTGCCGGATTTGACCCACAAAAAATCCGGTATAGATGCTCCAAACTTGTGCCCAAAGTGAACCAGTTCATAAACCGGATTATCTCCGAGCATAGAGCTCAATCCACCAATATCAGCCAAAGAAACCATGATTTTGTTGACGTTTTGCTCTCCCTCAATGGACCTGATAAATTATCAGATGCTGATATGGTCGCTGTCCTTTGGGTAAGTAATCCACAACTCATGTTCCACTGCTACTAAATTTGCATACATACATACATACATATATATACATACATACATACATATATTATGAAAGTGCATGCGTAAAATTACTCACCTACATTTCTTCCCATTCACATAGGGTCAGTCAAGTTATTCGACCGTTGGACTGCACGATTCTTATGAAAATAACATATATCAAAAGTTAAGCTTGTGATTACTTCAATTAAATTACAGTTTATTATTCTTTTTAATTTCTCGGTATAGAAATGGCCTCAAACAAATATACTTCCCTTATTAGTAGTCAATTTTTCCCTTTTTAGATTGTCCAAAATTAAATGTCCACTTTGAAAAGGCAAATAAAATAAATGTCATCTTTTCATAATTACCTTTCTAACATTTCAAAAATTTTACAACTTGATGTTATATATATTTAAAGTTTGAAGAACAACTTAGTAATTTGAAATGGGAATTATTTAATATTTATTTATTGCATGCACATGTACGTATTATATAAAATTTTATCCTTTCCAAGCAACCTAGCTAGATAAATACAGTATTAAAGTTTTAATAATAATAATAATAGCTAGATAAATACAGTATTAAAGTTTTAATAATAATAATAATATTGTTCTTACGTTACAGGAAATGATATTTAGAGGAACGGATACAGTGGCGGTTTTGATAGAGTGGATACTCGCGAGGATGGTACTCCATCAAGATATCCAATCAAAGGTGCAGGGAGAGCTCGACCACATCGTGGGAAGATCACGACCGGTGAAGGAATCGGACATCACATCAATGGTGTATCTTCAAGCAGTGGTGAAGGAAGTTCTGAGGCTACACCCACCGGGCCCACTTCTATCGTGGGCCCGTTTGTCCATCACGGACACTACAGTCGACGGGTATCACGTGCCAGCAGGGACCACGGCAATGGTGAACATGTGGACTATCACAAGGGACCCACAAGTCTGGTCGGACCCACTTCGTTTTATGCCAGAGAGGTTCTTGACACAGCCTGGTGACGTGGAGTTCTCCGTAATGGGATCTGATCTTAGGCTTGCGCCATTCGGGTCGGGTAGGAGGACTTGCCCCGGAAAGGCAATGGGTTTGACCACAGTCAGCTTCTGGGTGGCCATACTGTTGCATGAATTCAAGTGGGTCCCATCGAATCACAGTCCTGTGGACCTCTCTGAGGTGCTTAGGCTTTCTTGCGAGATGGCAAACCCTCTCTCTGTTCAAGCTCGTCCCAGGCGCAGACACATGTGGGGATATATACAATAATATAATACATAAAATGTATATATATTATATATATGCTGGTGCTTTCCTTTTGTCTCTTACAATCCCTTAATATTTTGACTGCTGTAAATTAAATATGGTGTTTTGCAATGTAAATTATTAGACTACTATATATATATATAGATATATATGTAATTATATATTGTGTCTCATACTTGAAAATGACCACATTATGATGTGATATATATATATATATATATAGATATTGTGATATTTTCTGGATTAATTGGGATCAAAATGGCATTCCATTGGCTCCACTATAAATTATAATTTGGGATGTGATAGGGATGTAGTAGGTAGAGCACGACCTGAAGAACAACTCTAAACACTTGTCTCGTGAAGTAGTTCTATGATTTGTATGACTTGATAAATAAATTGCAAGAATAACATCAATCCATTGATTTTAAGCATAAAGTTCTGAAGAGGTGTATACCAAATTAAACTTGATTTTAGAATTTGATTAGGTCATGAGAGTTATTAAATATTATGTTGGTGGGAATTATGGTTTAATTGGAATTATGCTTATTAAAGTTTTTTTTTTTTTTGGTTATTTTATTATTGGACCAAAAGTGAGTAGTTTCACCCTACTCACTAGTGAATAGTTAAGCATTATCCTTTTGGATTTGCTAACAAAGGGCCATTTATTGAAAACAACTGAAGATGCATGCAATTGGTGAAGTACGAAAATAATTTGGTCCATTAATACTGGCCCTTACAAGAGGCTGGGTTTATCGTAAAACCCTAATCTACATGCATCTACTTTGAAGATGGAATCCTAATCTAAAAGAAAAGTCCACAATTTGCTTTAGATCGATCGTTGTCTCTGGTTTGGCTCTGTATGTTCCACTCAACTACTGTCTTCATTGTAGCAGCCAATTAAGCAAGTTAACAAATTAAGACTAGCTTGTCACCATTGTTTATGCACAAGTTTTGTGATAGGTAGCAAGATTTGATAAGATCTAACTCTACCATTTTTTGTAGATGGTTACAAAACCTGAACTTCATATGACACTGACTGTGCCTCCATCCCTGGCCAAACAAAATATTTAATAGATTACCTTTCTTTTGACAATAATACATAGTTTGTGGTGGCTAAAGGAGATTTTATTATTACTATTAACAAATGCATATATTATGTATACTTAGTAGAAGGATAGCACGTGATGAATGTTTTCTAACTTATATAATTTATATTTTTTAATTGTTTATAGTTTCAAGTTCAGAATACTTTAGAGAGTAATAATTGTCACCTCAAAATAAACAAAATAAGATTTTTCATTGATGAATGAATAAAAACTATAAACATTTAAAAACTATATGAAAATAAAATTCTATAATTTACAAAACATTCATAAATAAATACTATATAAAAATTCTATATATTATAAAATCTGAAAGTGTGCCAACAATTTTTAGATTGTAATAATTGTCACCTCAAAAAAAACAAAATATATTAGAAAATCCAAAACTATAACTTTTGAAAATAAAAGTATTCCTAAATTATTTATTTCTCAATCTTTATCTTTTTTGCATATCTCATTTCTTCATGAAATGAATCATTGTCAAGTATCAATTCTTTTAATGACTTGTTGTTGAACATTGTCTATCTTCACCAGAAAAAGAAAATATTTTCCTTTGCACCTTATCACTTTGTTGCTGAATTCATCCATGTCCTGCAAAAAAGACAAATATAATTTAGAGCTATTGAAAAATTCAAGTAAGTATTTTTTTTAAATTTAATTAAAATTTTATGAATAAGGGTGAAAAATTATCTCAATTTGTAATTGTAGCAAATCATCTAGTGAAAAATTTATTAACGTTTGGCAATCATTGAACACTGTTAGGGTTGCAAGTGTTCCAATATGTTCCATACTTTGCACTTTAATTATCATCATGAATTTGCAAATGAGTAAAGACAAATAATTATGTATTTGTAATATTATTAAACCATTGAAATAAATACAATAATAAGATTTTAATTAAATATTATTTCGTGTTGGAGTTTTAATAAATATTTTATTTGAATTTTATTAGGTAATAATTTTTATATTTTATTTGAATTTTATTAGGTATTAATTTTTAGAGTTTCTATAATTTGAAATATATAATTTGAAATGTATTTCGTGTGAGAGTTTTAATAAATATTTTATTTGAATTTTATTGGGTAATAATTTTTAGAATTTGTATAATTTGAAATGTATTTTGTGTTAGAGTTTTAATGAATATTTTATTTGAATTTTACTAGGTAATAATTTTTAGAGTTTCTATAATTTGAAATGTATTTTGTGTTAGAGTTTTTTTAAGTAAAAATTACCTAAAAATTATTTAAATATTTTAATTCAAGTTACAGATTACCTAATAAAATTTATAAAAATTAATTTAAATAAATATTTTATTTGAATTTTATTAGGTAATAATTTTTACATTTGTTTATAGGTAACTTTTTGTTTATAAAAACTCTTTTTTTATATTAATAAATAAATACTGAAAGAGTTTTGATCTTACCCAAAAGGCCGAGAAAGGTTAGTCGAAAGGCCAACCCAAAAAAATTTAGTACTAAGCCAAAAGGCCGAGAATGGTTAGCCAAAAGGTCGAGAAAAGTGTGATTACTATTTAATTTAGTACTACACTTGATCTTAGCCAAAAGGCCGAGAATGGTACGCCAAAAGGCCGAGAAAGCCCAAAAAAATTTAGTACTACACTTGATCTTAGCCAAAAGGCCAAGAAAAGTTAGCCAAAAGGTCGAGAAATGTGTGATTAATATTTCTTTAGGTCTATAGTTTTATAAGAGACTTCCATATTATCTTTTATAACTCAAAACCAATGTGGGAAAAGAAAAATGAATTTTATTAATTTGATCTTAGACAAAAGGTCGAGAAAGTATTATTACCCTTGATCTCAGTCAAAAGACCGAGAAAAGTTAGCCAAAAGGCTGACCCAAAAAAATTTTATACTACACTTAGTCTTAGCCAAAAGATCGAGAAAGGTTAGCCAAAAGGCCAAAAAAAGTGTGATTATTATTTCTTTAGACCTATAGTTTATAAGAAGCTTCCATATAATCCTTTATAATTCAAAACTAATGTGGGACAAGAAAAATAAATTTTATTAGATAATTTGTAATTTAAATTAAACTCTTTAAATTAATTTTTATAAATTTTATTAAGTAATTTGTAATTTGAATTAAACTCTTTAAATAATTCTTAGGTAATTTTTTGTTTATAAATTTTTTTTTTTTTGTTGTAATTCCAATGGGCTTAATGTCATCTATGGTCATGGACCCAACTAATTTACCTGTATTGGGTCTCATCTCTCCTAAAGGGAACAAAACGTCTCTCTCTTATCTTCATCAACTTCTCTATTAGGTTTATGATATGAACAAACATTTCACGTTTACTGTCTCATCATTCAATAGAAATTGTGACATAACGTAATATATATATATATATACACACACACACACACACACGTATATTCCTTCACATTAATTTCAGAAAGACGATATACATATTAATACATACATCTAGTCATCATGTTCAAGTGTTCTAATTAAGTTGAAAAACATGAAATATAATAAAAATGAAGATAAATATTGTGCAAAAGGTCAAAATAAATAAATAAATAAGAGGAGCTAAATATTTCATAATAATGTTATATATGGATCGCATAATTATAATCGATCATATGGAGTTTTTTTTTTTTTTTCAAATGATCATATGGAGTTCAAAATTGATTAAATTTGCATTGTTTGAAACTTCCAAGTATACAAACAAAAGCGTTCCCAAGTCCACATTAATTTGGTATTTTAGTAGGACTATTTGGGCCAAATTTAATGTTTCGAGCCTTAAGTTGGATCTCCTCAGCCCAAGTTAAAAACAACATTAATCTCAGCCCAATTTACAACTTTAGCTCACAACTAGAGTAGATATATGAATTAAATGAAGCTCAATCTCTAAGATGACATGAGAAAATGAAAGATGTGAAGTGAGTGATCAAATGAAGATCTTGAAAGCTCTTAAATACTCTCTTGAATGCTCTAGAATGCTCTCTTGAGTGTTTTTTTTATTAAGTATAGCAAGGTTTAGCCCTTATATAGAGAAAGAGCAAGCCTGAATATAGCTGTTGAAGGTGATGTGTGTATAATCCAAAATAAGATGTAGCCATTGCATTTGAATCTGTCTCTGAGTTGGTCGGCTGATGGTATACTTTTAGTCGGCCGAAAGTCCCTTGTCGGCCAGCTACCATTCAATCTTCGGTTGGCCGAAACGATTCCCCATCTCTCTATTTTTGTGAGGGCTCCTTGTCGGTCGGCTGATGCACTAATTCGGTCAGCCGAAACGTCTAATATGAGAACCTCAACTCACTGTTTCTCTATCGGCCAGCTAACATAAGTAGTGCCAAAGTCATCAGTCAGTTGATACTCATGTAAGCTCTATTCACTGAGTTTTTGATCTGTGCTAGTTCTTCAATGTGACGGCCTAAGTTTTACAACCCGGTGCATCAGTGATGACCTAAAAGTTGACCCGGTAATGGATCCGAAATACGAAATCAGAACAAAAATAAGTCTTTAGAGATGTACGCCATCCCTAAGACACGAGAATGGCCTTCCGAGGAGTCCCGTGACTCAACGGAAGTAAGATTGAAGTTAGGGCTTCAAAACCCTTCAAGGAATGGACTGTACACACAAATTTTGTTCTCTGCAAATAAAGACAAAATATGGGCAAAATAATAATTTATTAAATCAGAAATATTTGGAGTACAATCCTTTGTGATATCTTTTACAAAAAAGAATGGTCCTCTGATTCGATCTCCTTTTTGTTATTGGTTAGATCCAAGGGCTGCACGAGCTTGTTCTTGAATCACCGTGAAATTTGATGAAGAACGACACGTCGTTGGATGTGCTTGTTGTTGATCACCGTGAGATTTGATGAAGAACGGCACGTCGTTGGATGTGCTTGTTGTTGATCACCATGGGATTTGATGAAGAATGGCACGTTGTTAGATGTGCTTGATGTTCTTCACTTTTGAGTTTGGATTCTAAATTTATGTCTCTAACTTCTGAGTCTCTGGATTTCTGA